AAGGCAGCTGGGGATGATGGAAAGCCAATGATAGATATGATAGGTATTGAGTAGAAAAGGAAATGCCTGGCTGAATGCAATAGAGTCTCTTGCAAAAGGGCAAGCGTGAACCTGGGCTTTCTGCACTCTATTAGCAAACACATTTTCTCAACATAATTAATAGAGAGACATAAGAAAATAAAAATACAAAAACCCTCAGAATTTATTTTAAAAATTAATATGAGGGAATTCGACGCCAATGGATTCATGCATCCCTACTTCCTCACATTTTCAATATGCATAAACTTTAAACTGCTGTGTGCCATATTCATTTCTATTTCTCTCATTTTTATTCATGGAAACAAAAAAGAAACCATGGGTGTAACTACACACACATATATATGGATACACACACACACACACACACACACACACACATATATATATATATAGTTCAAAAGAAGGGGAAAATAATTGTGTTTCACTGAACATTCCTTTCCAGTACTCAAAGATACACTTCTGAGAAGAGTCTGGGAGCTGGAATGGGAAGAAAAACCTAACGTTTGCTCACCAGCAGCTCTTTTTGGAAAGATACCATTGTCAGTTCTGTTCAAGCTGAATTTCATTGCAACAGAGACACGCAGGACACTTCCAGACATCACTAAATCACAAGTTTTAAACAGGGGCAAAAAATCCTGGTCCTGGGAATTCTGCCTCTATTGTCTGGACTTGATGCTTTGCTCTGAGATTTAAAGGCTCCCAAGATGGCTACTGCAGGACTTCCGCCTGTAACCTTGGCAGGTTTTTTCTCCAAAAAACCCTCAAGATGCGGATATGCGGAGAATCATTACAGTGAATCATTGCAAAAGTTCCATTCTTTGTCCTATTGGCCCCCTTCAAAAATTAGTCTGCTGTTGCTTTTGATGCTTGTTTATTTTTTATTTATGCTGTTTTTATGTTAATTTAATATGTTACTATTCTGTTTTTAATTGTATGTTGCCTTGGGCTTGGCCCCATGTAAGCCACCCTGATTGAGGCGGAGTTGAAAACATATACCGTATATTCCGGCATATAAGACGACTTGGCGTATAAGATGACCCCCAACTTTTCCAGTTAAAATATAGAGTTTGGGATATACTCGCCATATAAGACTACCCCTCTTCCCACACACACCAAATAAAATTTAAAAAACATCAGATTTGATTTCAATTTGGTATTTTCCTATTACTGTACCTCCTTCTCTGCCTCTCAGATCTCGCACCTGCGCACCTGCACTGCTTCACTGCAGTCTTCAGGAGCGAGATCTGAGAGGCAGAGGAGGAGGTATGGTAATAGGATACAAGGGCGGGCCAGACAGGTAAAAGAGGTGTGTTTTTCTGGGTCCAGAGCCACTCTCTCTTTTTTCCATACCCTGGGTGCCCCAGATGTCTGCAGCTTGCTCCGCCCTTCACTTACACCTTCCCGTGAGGCACCCCTTCACCTCACCATCGGGACCGCATTAAGTCCACAAATCCTGATGAATGGATTTTCTTCTACTGTACTTGTACAGTGTCACCCTTAATGCTTTCATACAGTCGCTGCATATGGCAGGGACATGGCCACTGCCATTTTTGAGCTCCCCACTATATGCAACAACCACAGATTCTCCAATCCGGATCGGAAGTTTCAGCACCCGCTCTATAAGACGACTTCGGCGTATAAGACTACTCCTGAATATAAGATGACCCCCATGCATAAGACTACTCCAGCGTATAAGACGGCTCCCGTGTATAAGACTACTCCCGCGTATAAGACAATCCCTGACTTTTGAGAAGATTTTCTTGGGTTAAAAAGTAGTCTTATACACCAGAATATATGGTTCTTCTTCTTCTTCTTCTTCTTCTTCTTCTTCTTCTTCTTCTTCACCAGACAAACTGTGCCCTCCACATCTTTCATGAAGTTTCTGGCACACAAACAAGTTTTTGCCTTCTACTCAAGTGTCACCCTTTTTAGGAACCAATCAGGAACAAACATCTAAAACCCAGGAACAAACCTAGATTTAAAAATCCCGCGAATTTCGATTGCAGAGACATACAGATATTTGAAAATATGGATATTTGGCTCAAAACCATGATATTCCTGCACCTGGAAATCTCCTGTTTTTTTGCCTTTTGTTTACAGGGAACGGCGTCCAGCCACCCTCCTGTTTGCTGCGGAAGCTTCTGGGAAAAAGGTACCGTCGGGACGGGCCCACAGTCTTCACTCCACTGCCAAATAGCACATTCATTTCCTAACAGTATTTATTTATTTACAACTTTTATATGCCACCCTTCTCAACCTGAAAGGGACTTAGAGCGGCTTACAAGAGATATATACATACAATATATTATATTATTAGCATAGTACAATATCAATATTATATATTGCGCCTTCCACCTTAAGAACAGAGAAGCATCCCGAGCTCTGAAGATCACCTGGGAAGGAATCCCACTGGAGCATTGCAGCGCACCCAAATACCTGGGAGTCACTTTGACCGTGCTCTGACCTACAAGAAGCACTGCCTGAATATCAAGCAAAAAGTGGGTGCTAGAAACAATATCATACGAAAGCTGACTGGCACAACCTGGGGATCACAACCAGACACAGTGAAGACATTTGCCCTTGCGCTATGCTACTCTGCTGCTGAGTACGCATGCCCAGTGTGGAACACATACACATCTCACCACACTAAAACAGTGGATGTGGCTCTTAATGAGACATGCCGCATTATCACGGGGTGTCTGCGCCCTACACCACTGGAGAAATTACACTGTCTAGCCGGTATTGCACCACCTGACATCCGCCGGGAAGTAGCAGCCAATAGTGAAAGGACCAAGGCAGAGACATCTCCAGCTCATCCCTGTTTGGGTATCAGCCAGCACGTCAACGACTTAAATCAAGACATAGTTTTCTTAGATCTATAGAGACACTCGCTGGAACACCCCAGCAAGCGAGAGTCCAAAAGTGGCAGGCCCAAACCCAGCACCTCAATCCATGGGTGATACCAGATGAGAGACTCCCCCCTGGGCACACAAAAGAGACTGGGCGACTTGGAAGGCACTGAACAGACTGCGCTCTGGCACTACGAGATGCAGAGCCAATCTTAAGAAATGGGGCTACAGGGTGGAATCCTCGGCATGCGAGTGCGGAGAAGAACAAACCACTGACCACCTGCTGCAATGCACCCTGAGCCCTGCCACATGCACAATGGAGGACCTTCTTGCGGCAACACCAGAAGCACTCCAAGTGGCCAGATACTGGTCAAAGGACATTTAATCAACTACCAAACTCACAAATTTTGTATTTTGCCTGTTTGTTTGTTTTGCTCTGTTAGAATTGTAATACAACGGTATGGTTGCTGATGACATGATACATAAATAAATAAATAAATATTATATATTGCTATATTGTACCAAACCATTATATTGTAATATTATTAATAATATTACGTGTAATATAAAATATATAATTATAATATCATATTAGTAGTAGTAGTAGTATATTGTATTACATTATCTATATAAATAAAAATGTAATTTTCAGTTGTGGGATTAACACGATTCAAAAACCACTGGACAAATTGCTGCCAAACTTGGCCACAAAACACCTACTAACCCAAGGAGTGACCATCACTCAAAAAAAAATGATTTTGTCATTTGGGAGTTGTAGTTGCTGGGATTTATAGTTCACCTACAATCAAAGAGCATTCTGAACTCCACCAATGATGGAATTGAACCAAACTTGGCACACAGAACTCCCATGAACAACAGAAAATAAGGGTTTGGTGGGCATTGACTTTGAGTTTGGGAGTTGTAGTTCACCTACATCCAGAGAGCACTGTGGACTCAAACAATGATGGATCTGGACCAAACTTGGCACAAATATTCCATATGCCCAAATATGAACACAGATGGAGTTTTGGGAAAATAGACCTTGACATTTGGGAGTTGTAGTTACTGGGATTTATAGTTCACCTACAATCAAAGAGCATTCTGAACCCCACCAGCGACAGAATTGGGGCAAACTTCCCCAGCAACGTGTGGCAGGGGACGGCTAGTAATATTATAAATAGGTCCTTCTGCAGCCAAAATAGCCCAACCCATGGACCAGAGGAAAGCACCATCAGGTGGGGATGATGAGCATGGAATGAGGGAAATCCAGCACAACTTGAGTTGGTCATATTGCTTAAAATGGCTTATAAGAGAGCAATAATAAACATGAAATCACAAACAAGTCATTCAGCACTCAAATGGGCAACTTGTGGAAGAACGGGGAACCAATTCCCTACCAACCTAACCATGAGCCATGCTGGAATATATCCATATTCCTCATATGGATCTATTTTAGGGAGACTGTCGATGTAAACACACCTTCAGCTCCTTCCTTTCTCTGATAGTCTTTCACGAAATTGCTACTAGAAAGGATGCACATTAATTCCTGTTGCCATTTTGAGAAGGACCACAACCGTGAAGCTTGTTTCCAAACGATATCAAATCCATTTGAACAAATTTTACAGGAATCGGGGAAAAATGTGCTGAGTATATGCATTTTTTTAACTATAAAATGCAATCTTCCAAGTCCTGGACCAAAGCGATCTGATTGATTTTGATAGTTCTGTATATATTTTACTCCTAATCAACAATGTGCTGCCACCTATAACCTTTTGGATTTGGTATCTTTTGGAAACAAATGCCACAAACTAGAAATGATTTTTCCATCTTTCTGCAGCCATTTGGGCATTGTCTATCCCAGGCATGGGCAAACTTTGGCCCTCTGGGTGTTTGGACTTCAACTCCCACAATTCCTAACAGCCTCAGGCCCTTTCCTTTTCCCCCTCAGCCGCTTAAGTGGCTGAGGGGGAAAAGGAAGGGGCCTGAGGCTGTTAGAAATTGTGGGAATTGAAGTCCAAATACCCAGAGGGCCAAAGTTTGCCCATGCCTAGTCTATCTGTATTGGGTATAAACAACACATCACACTATTACCATAAAGAAAACAGGTCTTACCTCTTTCTGATGGTACTTTATTGCTACCTTTAGCTTTGCTAAATCATGACATTTTTGGGGGTCTAACTCTTCGCTTTGGTCATCTCTGTGGTTCAGAATGATCTCCAGCTCTCTGGAGCTCCGCGCCTGGTCCAGAAGGTCCTTGGCAAACCGCTTGCATTGCTGCGAGAGCTCCTCGTACTCCGCCTTGAATTCGTTCTCCACTTTGCTGAGTTCCTTCAGTTCCCAACCCAACCGGAAGGCGGTCAGGATGGGGTCCTCACTCGACAAGGCTATCAAGGAAGGGCTGGCCAAGGCTTTGTAAATGTTCAGCCGCGACCGGGAGTGCCTCAGGCTGTCCACCTCGGAGCTGGAGACACACTCCACGCAGTTACATCGGATCTGGTGCGGGCGCGGGATGGTGACCCGCCTCTGGACCAGCAGCTTGATGATCTCATAGTTGTTGGTGTGAGCTGCTAGCATGATGGGGGTGATGTCGGGGGTGAATTCCGAAAACTGGGTGTCCATCATTAACGTGGGGACCTGCACAAAAGCAGACGGTTAAAATGTATCTTATAATAATAATAAAGCTGTGGTGATTGGACCCCACCAAGATATTTCTTGTTATATTTACATAATACAGCTGACACATTAATGTATCGCAACACATAGCTCTGGACTATGTCAACACATCATTCTATACATACCAGTTTGTGCCCATGTGCCCAAACTATGGCCTATGGAAAACCATCTGTTTGGGCATGGGATGTGACCCCTTGGGTTCTTTTTTTAGGCCCTTTTCTCTCTCAACATCCTTTCCTTCCTTCCTTCTCTCTTTCCTTTCTCCTTCCCTCCCTCCCTCTTCCTTCCTTCCTTCCTTCCCTTCTCTCTTTCCCCCTCCCCTCCCTCTTTCTCTGTCTCTCAATTCCCTTTCCCTCCTCCCTTCCTTCCTTCCTTCCTCCTTCCTTCCTTCTTTCCTTCCTTCCTTCCTTCCTTCCTTCCTTCCTCTTTCCCCTTCCTTCCCTCCCCTTTTTTTTTCCTTTCCCCATCCTTCCTTCCACCCTTTCCCTCCTTCCTCCCTTTTGTCTTTCTTTCCTTTGTCTCTTTCCTTCCACCTTACCTCTCTCCCCTCCCTCTTTCTCCTTCCATTTTTCTATTTCACTTTTTCATCCTTCCTTCCCTCTCTCCCTTTCTCCCTTCTTCCCTTTTGTAGTCCCTTCCTTCTCTCTTTCCTTTGTCCTTCCTTCCATACTTCCTCTATTTCCTTCCTCCTTCCCTCCCTCTCTCCTTCCTCCTTCCTTCCCCCTTTCATTCCTTCCTTCCCTCTTTCCTCCTCTCTCCCCTTTTCTTTTTCCTTCCTTCTCTCTTTCCTTTATCCTTCCTTTCTTCCATCCTTCCTCCTCTCTCCTTCTTCCTTCTTCCTTTTTTCCTCCTTCCCTTTCTTTCCTTTCTATGCTCTTTCCTCCCTCCTTCACTCTTTCTCCTTTCTTCCCATTTCTTTCCCTCCTCTCTTTCCTTTCCTTCCTTCCTTCATCCATCCATCCTTCCCTTCCCCCTTCCATCCTTCCTCCCCTTTTGTCTTTCCTTCCTTCCCTCTCTTCCTCTTTCTCCTTCCATTCTTCCCTTCCTCCCTTTTGTCCTTCCTTCCTTCGTTCTTTCCTTTCTTCTTTCCTTCCTTCCTTCCATCACTGGACAGCCACTCCTCCTAGCAGAGAGCGCTAGCATGTGGCCCCCAAGTTAGAAAGTTTGCCCAGGCCTAGTGTAGATCCGTCTTAAGTTGCAAGGTTTTGGTCCATGAATTTAATGCATTTGCTGCACAACTGCCAAAGAGTAAAAAAGCACCTGTAAGGGAACCAATGCAGGATTTTGGCACCAATTACAAGTCAGCATACATCCCCTTATGCTCCATTGCTTTCGGTGTGCTAAATTGAAACTGTTAGTAAAAATAAGGCATCATTGCTTGAACACCTCCACTTTAAAGCAGCCATGGAGGAAAAGAAAACACTTTTGAGAAAACGACAAGTAAACAACCTAAAAGCTGCCAGTGCCGCAGTTGTGTGCGATTAAGTTATCAGTGTACTTCTCAGCTATGGCTGAGGTTAATGCACCCCCCTGTTGTGGCTTATTACTGGCATCTGGTGCTCGGAGGACGCCAAAACGTGGCGCTTCCCAAACCATTCTGTTTGGAAATGCTTCGGAAAGGCCAGCTCTCCAAAGCACTCAGCACTTCATGTGACCTCTCCAACTGAACCAGCGTCTCCGCCGAGCATGACTAATGGCAGGTGAATGCTGCGCACACTTGCCTTGCGACTGTCAAAAGCACTTCATGGCAAGCATTCTCAAAAGGCCTCCGTGGTAGCACAATTAAACAGCACTTCTGTCAATCTGTAGGTACAGTCAGCCCTCCACATTCGCTGAAGTTAAGGGCACCGAATCCCCAGGAAAGTAGATAAAGAAAGTGATTTATAAGTCATATATGTCTACTTTATTCTAAATCAAGATTTCATATTGAAGACCTTAACACCACATGGCTTCAATTTAAGAAGGATGTAATGAGTTACTAGCATTTGTTGACCAATACAATACCGAATGATTTAATTTGCAGACTTCAGGATTCCACCGTGAGAGTTAAACTGGTATCAAAATGCTATAATAGCTGATGGTATTGTTTATAGTTTTAATTAATGCTTTATGTACTGTTTTTTAATTAATGCTTTAAATATTTTAATGGTTGTTGTATTATTGTAATTGTTTATATGTAGCCTGAGCTCTGCAAGTGGAGCATTTTTCCAAATGAAGCAGAGAGTGTTTGAGGACCAGGAAATCTGTAGGGATACCAAGGTGCTTATTTATAAAGCTATTGTCCTCCCAACCCTGCTATACACTTGTGAGACGTGGACAGTCTGCAGATGTCACATGCAACTCCTGGAATGATTCCATCAGCACTGCCTCTGAAAAATCCTGCAAATCTCTTGGGAAGACAAGTGGACAAATGTCAGCATGGTGGAAGAAGCAAAGACCACCAGCATTGAAGTGATGGTCCTCCGCCATCGACTCCGCTGGACCGGCCACATTGTCTGGATGCCCGATCACCGAAAGCAGTTACTCTATTCTGCACTCAAGAACAGAAAACAGAATGTTGGTGGACAGGAAAAGAGATTTAAAGATGGGCTCAAAGCCAACCTTAAAAACTCTGGCATAGACACTGAGAACTGGGAAGCCCTGGCCTGTGAGCACTCCAGCTGGAGGTCAGCTGTGACCAGCAGTGCTGCAGAATTTGAAGAGGCACAAAAGGAGGGCGAAAGAGAGAAACGTGCCAGGAGGAAGGCGCGACAAGCCAACCCCGACCGGGACCGCCTTCCTCCTGGAAACCAACGCCCTCACTGCGGGAGAAGACATAGATCAAGAATAGGGATCCATAGTCACCTACGGACCCACCGCCAGAACACCAACCTTGGAGGATCATCATAATTGTCTAGTTTGAAAGAGTCCCTGCTCTAAGAGGTCTGAGTTGGACAGCTCTAGTGCTTCCATAGACTGCAAATCCCAGGATCCTATTGGATGTTTCCATGGCCATTAAAGTGGAATTATATTGCCATAATGGTATAGTGCAGTGTTTATTTATTTATTTAGAACTTTAATATACCGTTCTTCTCTACCTCCGCAAAGGGACTCAGAATGGCTAACGACAGCAAAAATTCAATACTACACAACAAATAACATTTTAAAAACAACATGCATAATAAATAAGTTATAAAACACATATAAAACAGAGTTCACCAAGTTAAAAACATCAACCAACTCAACCCAAACAAGTGTTTCTCAATCTTCTTAATGCCCCCTTAATACAGTTCGTCATGTTGTGGTGACCCCTAACCATAAAATTATTTTTGTTGCTATTTCATAAGTGTAATTTTGCTACTGTTATGAAGTGTAATATAAATATCTGATATACAGAATGTACTTGCATTCACTGGACCAAATGTGGCATAAATACCTGATATACCCAAATCTGAATACTAGTGGGGTTGGGGAGGATCAATTTTGTCATTTGGGAGTTGTAGTTGCTGGGATTTATAGTTCACCTACAATCAAAGAGCACTCTGAGCTCCTCCAATGATGGAATTGAACCAAACTTGCCACACAGAACTTCCATGACCAATAGGAAATACTAGAAAGGTTTGGTGGGCATTGACCTTGAATTTTGGCGTTGTAGTTCACCTACATCCAGAGAGCACTGTGGACTCAAACAATGATGGATATGGACCAAACTTGGCATGAATACTCAATACGCCAAATGTGAACACCAGTGCAGTTTAGGGAAAATAGACCTTGACATTTGGGAGTTGTAGTTGTTGGGATTTATAGTTCACCTACAATCAAAGAGCATTCTGAAACCCATTAATGATAGAATTGGGTCAAACTTCCCACGCAGAACCCCCATGACTTGAAGGGACTCACTAGCACAAGCCTTCCTCCTGCCTCACATGCTCTCCCTCGCCCGCACATGCACACCATGCTGCCATGGTGTGCATGTGCAGCATGGTGATCACACATGCTCTCCCCTTCCTGCTTGGAGTCTCAGAAACAGCCCCCCCCATCGGCTGAGAGGCTGGTCAATCACAGCAGAGGGGGGCTTTTGATGGGAGGATTCGCCGTCTGTTTCCAAAATGGAAGAGAAGGACAGGTGGAGGGATCTTCAGCCTTCTTTGCCAAAGAGGTTCCTAAAACCATCAGAAATATATGTTTTCTGATGGTCTTTGGTGACCCCTCTGGAATTCCCTCGCAACCCCCCCCCCTCCAAGTGGTCCCGACCCTTAAGTTGAGCAATGCTGCACTATAGGAATGCCCCCACAAATATTTCTAGGATGGCACTTCTTGTGGGGTGGAGAATATTTAGCATTTTTGTCTAGCACTGGCTTACATCCTAAATCAGCATTTTGCAATTTTTCCACCAGTCTAGTGATCAATTGGACTTTTAAGAGGAGATCTCATCTATATAAATAAAAATGTAATGTTCGTTTGCGGGATTAACATAACTCAAAAACCACTGGATGAACTGACACCAAATTTGGACACAATACACCTATCAGGCCAATGAGTGACCATCATTTTGAAAAACACAATAGAAGGGACTTGAAAAGTCAAAAAACAAAAATTACATTAGAACACATGCATAAACCCACACACACAGAGACACACAAACACACACACATATATATACACCCAAACACAGATATACACACACAAAACACATATACACAGATTGGCCACAGCAACGCATGGCAGGGGACAGCTAGTTGTCAATATCACCTCAGCTGGCAAAGCCATGCCGGTAACTATTATGCACTCTCAGTCCTTCCCAGAGTTGAGATCTTGCAACTCTGACAGTTTACATGCTCAATTTGGGTCTGCTCTTTTCCTATTTTAGGTTTTTTCTAACAGAAACAGAGGAGCCTATTATTGTCCTCGACGGCTCGCCTAAAACTCCTCCCAGGTTATTTTCAACCCGAGGAGCATAAATAAGACATGATTCCCTCCAT